GAGGCACTCTTGGTCCCGTTTGGGGCTGGAGCCAGCCCGCACAGAGAGAAAAGCAATAACTTCACTAACCGTCAGGCTGGACGACCACTTCGGCAATATGCTGCCTTATAATTGTTTTAATCGGACTTGGGGGTTGCTGGCGGTCCTTTAGAATCCGTGTCAGCAAAGCATCCTTGGCGGCTGACCCTGCTACAGGTGCTACCAGAGACCTGTCTGCAATGTGCTCTGGACCGTCTTAAAACAGTAGCGTTTATGCATTTTTACTCTGTGGTGTAGTTTGTTATTGTACTTACTAAAACTCCACCCGCGGACTAGGTCCAATGTAGTGCAGGACCGTGCAAGTGCAAACTGCTCCGTATGGCGTGTTTGGACTTGCTCGAACAAGAATGGACCCCGCAATGCAGGACTCCCTCGCGGGAGACTTGGGCCCAGGTGCGTTTTTTTTATCAATTCCTATTCCTATTGCCGTGGGTCTCGTGCTTCAATACCAACGCCACAAGGTCAACGCGGGCCCTTGTAGCTTTCTGCAATACAGATGACGTACGCCCAGTGTTTTTTTCCCTGCAGAGTTCAAGAATGCCAAGTGCCTGAATTTATGCGAGCTTCAGCTTATTCTAGGGGACCAGCTCCGTTTGTCCGTCTCCCGCCCGGCAGAGGCGCACAAGTCAGTCTTTTTCGGTGGAGCTCGTCTGAGCTTAGCAACGGCCCAAATTTACACATAGCTTTGGAAACCAGTACTTCCATGACATGAATAGCTTGCAGAAGTTTTAACCAGGGGAGGAGTGAGGCAGACTACCAGTTTCCGCAGCCTCCAGCGGCGGCAGTCTCAGTCATAGCTTGCAACCGCACCAGCAGCGCAGGCAGTCGGTGCTGCCGTTGCTTCTTCAAGATTTTCTTCTCCCAATAGTACCACTATCCCCAAGTAACGTCAATTAGGTTGCGGCAAGGACGGCCACGTGATACATGATGCACGAGCTATGCGTTGTTCTTGTTGACTCTTTGTTTGTCACCAGCCTAATCAAAGCTTCTTACGAGTATGCTTCGCGCTTCGGGAAGATGACCGTCAGGACAGCTGTCGTGGAAATTCGCAAGTACGGAGGCAGCCTATTCCAAGTATCCTCGTGTGCTGCTGCTCTTGCCGCCGGTGTTGTTCTGCTAGTGTTGCATTTGGCGGTGTTTTGACTACTGCAGGTGGCGGCGTGAATATGCGTGCCGCCCTCACGTTGGCTGTTGCAAACAGCTTGTTGCTGAGATGCTGCTACTGCTTCTTTTGGGACTGCAGGCATCTTGAGCGTGAAGGAGATCTGCAGCAGTTTGAGCTGGCGCTGTTGGTCAATCTGCTGCCCCGCACCCCTGACGAAGCCAAGGCACACATTCCCTCTCTTATCCGTCTGTCTCCTGCTCGTCTCTCGCGAATTATTGACACTTTGGAGGTCTTCAGGGTGCATGCATCCTAAAGCAGCGGCTGCTGCACCAGTGGATATTGCTGTCAGTGCTAGTGTTGCTGCAACGACTTTTGGGCTTCGAGAATGCCTGTTCATGGGCAGTTGCACCGGAAAAGGTTGATCGCTTGTGACGGGCTCATTTTGCGAAGCCAAAGTCCTTGTATACACCGCGCCTGTGAACAAAAACATAANTCGCTTGTGACGGGCTCATTTTGCGAAGCCAAAGTCCTTGTATACACCGCGCCTGTGAACAAAAACATAACTTTTGGTGGCCCGGTAATAAGCACGCCAAGACTAGCGCAACGGAGCGGCGGAGATAAGGGGGCCTGAGCTACGTAGTGTATACACACCAGGCAGTGAAGCTTAGCGTAGCATCAGTGCATGACATTTTCTGGCACTATATGATAGGCCCCGTAGCAAACGGGGGAGACTTTCGAAAGCCCTAACTAACACTACCAGGTCTCAGTACCCATGGTGCAGGCATGCGATATTTGAAGCCTCCAGGCTTTTGCTAGAAGGGAACGTTGCGAATATCTTCTCCCTATGGCATATTAGCTGCTTCTGCGGTGACAGAGCAATGATGGGGAAAAACCGGACGACGAACACATCCCTGATGCCCCTCTTTACTTTCTGATGGATGAATTGTATCCTTGCGCATCATCAAGCGTATGGGAACGCGCAGGCAGCTTTTTGCACGCTGGGGTTATTGTCAAAGACGGAATTGCTTGTCTCCGCGCAAGCCTGGGAGTGTGTGGATGTTTACACTTCCCGCCTACATGCATCCAGCCACACGAGAACATGGTTGAGTGCGCACTACCAGGCCCTCATGCATGAGAAGCGGGACACACACACATTATATAGTGCATACATGCATACCTAAATCTATGATCAGATCACATGCATATCATAGACAGGGAGGCACAGTTTTAACGCATCTGCGAATATGCGGGCAACTTGAAACACTTCTTAGAGATGCTTACGCATGTGNGGCACAGTTTTAACGCATCTGCGAATATGCGGGCAACTTGAAACACTTCTTAGAGATGCTTACGCATGTGCGTGCGAACCCGTACAAGCAGATTTCGGTGAATAACGTGTTTACCATGGCCTTCATCTTAGCGGAAAAGCGGAAGATGCGGTCTCCTAGAAGTTTGGGGTCTTGGAATAGCTTCTGCGGGGGCTTGTTGCCATGTGTCTGTCTTCTGACAACGTTTGACGGTTGTTGTTAAAAACAGAGGACAGCACCCTATCGAATCACCTCATTTCTACTCGGCGTTCCGTCGTATTTCCCTCTGAAGTTGTGGAACGGCACAGGCGTCCGCATCTGCGACGGGTAATTAAGGACAGAGAGGTTCTTTTGACGGCTTGGTTTCGACCTGCACACAGGCCTTGTTCGGCCCCTTTTAATATGGGAGACGAACGGTTTTTGCACGACTCATAGGGTTGCGCCCTGCAACACTGTGGGCCTCAACCCTGGCAGTGGGGTGGCTCTCCTGCAGATTACGTACTAGCGAACTACACGCGCAAAATACAGGTGCAAGACAACAAAGAAAAAAATAAGCAGGCTATATAGCAATCGGTAAACAATGATGCATAACTTCCCAAATGCTGTCGGCCTCCTTTTTGATGTTTCAGCAAGTGGGTCACTTGGCTGTGGAGGGGAGGCTGTCGGCAGCGGTGTACAACCCTAACAACCCGCAAGTCTACCAGCAAAAATGTTCATGTTGACGTTTCACAGATTTTTTCATGCTTGTTTCTGCCTGTATGGGTTTTTTACTGTTCTCGAGTGCTGAGTACCTCAACCGAGTCCCTTCGGCTAATGCATTACCGTCAGGGTGGCGGGTTGGGAGACCCCCGGTGTCACCGACGCGGCTTACAAAGTATTTTCTCAGGCTACGGGAGTTGTCAAATTTAATCGGAGACTTCAAAGGTCCACCGAGGGCAGTCCTACTGCAAACCCTCCACCTCGGCCTGTGGAGCCTGGCCCGTATCCTCACCAACGGATAATATAGCGAGAGGAAAGGAAGAGAAAAAGCTCCACTCTAGCTCCACGCCAGGTGTCTCTGCACCTCTGAGGCGATTTCCTTGAGAGAATTCCATATAACTACGCACTCTTCGCAGCCACAAGCGGAATACAAAAGCCGCCTTTCTTCGTTGGCTCTTCCCTACAACTCGTGCGACAGTGCCTGCAGCAGTGCAGCGACCTGCAGCAACAGAAGCAGCCGCTGCAACAGCGCTGCCATGTTCCAGCCCCGAATCAGACTCCTGGTCCGATAACTTCGGCGTTAAGGCCAACACTGCCGGCAACAACAACAAACGCAGCAGCAACTACCGCCGTACAGAGCGGCGCTCCTGACAGCAGGGAACGCATCAGCAGTAGCCTTAGCTACGGCCACGCCAACAAGGCCACTAGCAATGTTTGTGAGCCTTCCTGAGGTTGGGATGCCCCGGCCTTCTGCCTCTGCTTTTGTAAACACAAGAGACACAGCGACTGGAACGGCGCAATCACCACGCCCTCCCGCTGCATCCACCGTGCCTGCAGCTGCGCCTGCCACTACAACAGTAGAACGACCTCGATGGAATTCTCGTTGTCTCGGGGGCAGGTGCCTCCCCACTCTTAGGTGGCGCAGGTGAGTACTGTAGCGTTGAGCACTCCGTACAAGCCTAGGCTTCCAAGCAGCTTACACATTGCTGCTTCCTGCCTTATGATGCTGCTGCAGGAGCAAAAAATCAAACAAGACTCAGCAGCAACAACAACAACAAAAACAATTGCTAGAGCTGCCGCCTGAACAGCATACTCTGCTTGGTGGATCATGCCACCCCAACCCCCATCGGAGAGAGTTCCGGCAAAACTTACAGTTGCAGCAACAGCTACGGCTCCAAAAACAAAGTTTGCAACAGCCGTTGCAAGGAAAAGAGCAAGAGTCACAGGAAAACAGATGCGAAAGACAACGGCAACTCCAGCAGCAACATGAGCGGCAGGAGAGGCGGTTGATGTTGCTGGTGGGTCAACTCGACACCACTGGTCTGTCTACACCCTACATTGGCGAATGCAGCAACAGCAGCAGCAGCAAAGGGGTCAGCAGCAGGAATTCAAGAGCTTCTGTAGGCTGTAATATTTCTACACTCGGAACGGCTGGTTCCAGCAGCAGCCGCAGCAACCGCAACAGCCGCAGTAGCAGTGCCAGTAGCAGCGACTGCAGCAGCAGCGCCAGCAGTGGCCAGTCGGAAACGCTGACATTCTCGTCTGCAGGATGCAGCACTTCAGGCCCATATTCCATTGAGTCCCCCAAATCATTGGAATCCTCAGTGTTCTGCAGCAGCAGCAGCCGAGGGGGCTCGCACATGGCAGCTAACTTTCCAAGAGAATGTGGTGGCGCTGAAAGGGGTGCAGCCTGTGGAACAGGACCTTCAGCAGGCACCTGCTGCGGTGCGGCGGATACGGCTGCAGCACCAGCTGCGTCGTTGGCTGCACCGTTAAGCACAGCAAACCTGGCAGCTGCAGCTACATGCGCTCCTGCTGGAGGAGTTGGTTTTGCGAATCACAATGCGACCGGAGATGTTCCCTGTCTTGCTACGAGAACAGCCATGGCATTACCCGATTTGAAGTTGTTGACGAGCGAACCTACTCGATATCAGCTAGCGGAAGCAGAAACCGAGCCAGCAAATCCACCAGCAGAAGGGAAATTAGAGACTGCAGCACGACCGGTCAGCCTTGCCGGGGCTGCAGCTGCCGCAACAGACGAATGGGAAGGCCCCGATCTACTTGATATCCCAGCGTCCAGGAAGGATTGGACCAGACAACTGGACTTACAGCAGCAACGACAGCAGCAGGAGCATTCTGGGAAGCAGCATCAGCCAGAACTACATGAGCAGCAGCAGCTAACATTGGAGGGACAGCTTCAGTGGGAGCAAATGCGAGCGACAGGAGGCCATTGTTTGTCTCCATCAGCTTCGGTAACGCAGAGGCCTTCAGCGCCTCCTTCAATGCAACCACAAACGATCGCAGCGGAAAACGTAGCAGCCCCAAAGGCGGCAGCGCTGGCAACGAGCGCAGCTGCGCCCAATGCGGTTCCTTCTCGTCTTGCCAGCCGACTCTTGGAGCCCTCTGCAGCCTCCAGACCACCGAGTTCAATAAATGAGTTGCAGAGCAACCAGAATCATCAGAAGCAGCGCAGACAGCTGGAGGATTCAGAACTGCCTGTATTGCCCCTGTTGGGTGGGGAGTTCGACGCAGCGCCAGGGAGGTGTGGCTTGTTGCTTCCTGCAGCTGCTTCCGTTGAAAATGAGGTCGACAGCGACAAGCTCGACGAACACCGCAGCAACATCTCACCCGTAAGACGAGGTGGTCAATCTAGTGTGACGGCTGCCGGTGCTGTCGTAGTTGCCTCTTTTGTGGACGCTGCTGCTCTCCCGGTCGGTCACGCTGCTACTGGGCGGACAGCTGCTGCCAAAGAGGTGAATGTCCAGGCTTCAGAGAAGACGTGTCAGCAGCAACAGGACCACCAACAGCGACCGGAGGAGCAAACGTTGGATGCGAGGCGTACCGAACCCCAGAAAAATGTGCACTCGCCNTGGACAAAGACAATCCGCAAATGACTCAGCTGCCGCCAGAGTGTTCAGGAGGCTGTCACGGAGGAGCCTCCACTAGCAGTCCTCCCGTTGCTGCTGCTGCTGCTGCTGCTGTAGAGTTCGCTGCGGCAGCGGTAGATGCTGCCGCCTCAACTGCAGCAGATACCGTTCCTCTTTCTGCCGAATCGTTGGTCTCTTCCGTCACTCAAACACTCAGCTCCTTGTTAACCACCGGACGTCCTGGATGCTCTTTGCGGGCACCCCGTAGGCAGCAGCAGCCTAAACAGCACCAGCACCAGCTTAAACTGCAGCAAAATGCCGGTCACTACCATGAAGAGCAGCGAGTGCATAACCGCAGTACTCCGGAGCTCCTGACCCCTGGTAGCTCCCAGCAGCAGAAACAACAACAGGCTAAAGAACTGCAGCTGCACCACCAGCAGGTGCTGAAGGATCAATTGATAGGGCAACGAGGAGTACCGCACTCGCTCGAACCGTCCGTGCCTCCCTTGCCGGTGGCAGAAATACAGGCTAGCTGCATCTCCCAGCAGCTCTCCGCTTGTGTCCCGCATCAACAGCAGCAGCAACAGTACCAGCTGTTGCTGCAGCGGTTACAAGCGCATACGCCCCATGCCTCACAGAGTGAGACATATGCCACAACGCGATCAGAATCTCCCAGGAGACGGCAGCTGCACTTTGCAGTCCCAAGCAAGCAGCATCTGCTGCAGCAACAGCTGCTGCTGATACAAGAGCAACAGCAGCACCCAACGCCACTGGCGAAGCAGCGTATTGAAATGCAGAGAACTTTGTTTGGCGTTCACCTCTCAGCGGAAGCGGAAGCGGTTGCTGCAACTGCAGCAGGGGCCGCAGCTGAAGCAGCTGCAGCAGCTGCAGCCCGCCCGTTTTGCGGCGGCAACATTCTGCCACCCTCTGATCATTTTGTTTCTCTGCATCGGTACCAGGAGGCGCAGCAGCAACATGCCGCTTCAAAGACTCAGCAGCCGGAGCCCTGTCGGCCGCAGCAGGTGCAGCCCAGTTGTCGCTCCTCTGTAATAACGGCTAGTGTTGAGACTCGAGAAGACTGCTGTTCGCCGCGCGGAAGTCCCGATGCTCCTTGTGTAGACCCAGCATTTCCCGGAGGCCCTACGAGAACCCCGAGTCCTATGTGCAACTTTCCGTCTCCACTGCAAGAGGGAACTCCTTCTGGCCGTCGATCTCCAGCAGGACAGCAAGCAGCTGAGGCTTCTCGTCGAGCCCTGCTGCTTCGGAAAAACTCTCAAACGTCTTTGCTGCACATTTGCGGTGCAGTGAATCAGGACCCGCAGCTACAGGAGCCGCAGCCTGTGCAGCAGCAAGCACGTTGGGAAACTGGAGGTACAAGTGCTGCACCATTAGCAGCTGCAGCAGCAGCAGCAACAGCAGTAGCCGCAGCAGCACTAAGCCAAAACAAGTTGGAATGCACTGGGACAAGCCCAGCGGATCTCAGCAGCAACAGCACGAACGTAGCTTCGGACGTTTCTTCAGCTAACAGCATGCATAGCGCTTTGACCCCCCATTTGTTACATCCCTCTCGCCGTATCCCCTTCCCGCTGCAGCAGCCTGGGACAGAGACCGACCCAGCACCAGGAGGAGCGGCAACAGTAACAGGGAGACCGCCCACTCCTGTTCGCGCTGAGAGACTGAGAAAACGCTTGGAGAGACTCCGCGAAATGGGCAGGCTCAGCCGAGACACCTACCCAGCAGCAGAAGTGGCATCAATAATCAGCGGCACACGGGTGGAGAAAGAAGGCCCCTTTCCAGTGTACGTTCTCGACAAAGAATGGTCCCTTGGTTGCAGCGCGCTGGACCCAGAATGGCCGCAGAAAATGCTGCAAAACACCAAGGAGGGAATAAAACTGCATTCCGAAATCAACAAGCTTCTCGCCCTCGCTAAGGAGGTTGATCTTACACAAGGAAAAACGGAAGCCTAGTAGCGGGAAAGAACTGCATGCCAGTTTCACTGTTGACGGTGCCGTTGCTGCTCCCATAGCAGGCGCCTAGCATTACCTACCTATGGACGGTGTTGCCTGTCTACTGGAGGCTCTGGTGCTCGTGGAAACCAAACTGCCTGAAATCCTAGTTCACGTACTGAGGCACCCGGTACATCGCCGATCAAACCTCAGTCTTCAGTACATTTGAGGAGCGAGGCTGGTGCTGTACAGCCGCAGCACCACCAGTTTGGCCTTTATCGCAACTTCTTTTTTGGCGAAACTTTCCTTCTCTTTCGTGCAGTTGGAAGCTTTTAAATTCCGTTTCTCTTCGCGCCTTCCTCCTTCTTAGGCTTGTAGGCCCACTTCACTTTCTTTGTTCGCCGTTCGCTGTGCTCTAGTGGGGGCTGCACTGGTAGTCCCTGTAGTGCGTCGATGCTGCTTTGGCTGCTGCTGTGGCCGCGATGAGACATGACGCCACAGGAAGTTCTAAGGAGACGGTAGCCGCACTAGCCTGCATGCTGCGAGATGATACTTTGCCTAGGAGTTCTGTTAGGCCCTGAATGCGCCCCGACTGGACGTCTACCAACTGCAGTTTGACTGTACTGGCGGCTTTCCACCAGTTTGATGCACTGAATATTGGGAGCCTAACTATACAAATAAGAACGAACAACAAGTAAGAATGNAAAGGCACTATATGCAGTATGGCGGTCGTTTGCAAAAAGAGCAAACTAAAATGGAATAGAGAGCGAATAGGGCATGCACATCTCTCTTAGCGGCAGGCGCCACGTAAAACGTTTAGCTATGCCCTGTCGAAGCTCGCTAACTTGCGTATCAACTGTTTCTAGAATTCGTCGTCAGGAAAAGTGCACGCTTCATGCCGCACTTTTCGGATGGCGTCTTGCCGTCGGTTTTCTTCGATGCTGCGTGTACTCATCAGGAGCTGCTCGCTAAAGTCTGACTGTACTCGATTACACCTGACACTTTTCTTACGTCCGGTATTGTAAAAAAACAAGCTGCGGGTACTATGCTTGGGTAGAAACTCTCATTCTTGGGGAGCACGGCGGCTCTTTAACAGGATCTTTGGGGGGCTCCCCTAGAAGCCCCTGTAGAAGATCCAGCTGTGCTGGCCCTCCGTGACCCTCCGCTCCGTTGTATACCTGTCCTCACCTCTTGCGCATCCGCCGCCTTCGACGTTTCCTGTGTGGGGCCCTTCTTCTGCAGTGGACTATGCTTGGGTGTCTCATTTTGAGGCGCCCTCTGAGTAATATCCAAATCAAAACAGTCCTCTTTTGACGCCTTGTGAAGTCGCTTTGGAAGGTGCTTCACGAAGAACATGACCAACTCGAGGAAGACTACAAGACAAGCAGCTGCAACGACAGCAGTAACACTGCTGGTATAAGTGGACGGGCCACTTACATCAGGAAACTCAGCCTCCTGTGGGAAAACGCACGCGTGCACAAACATGCACTGAGCTTGAACAAGGCATCAGGCCAGCTAAAACTCCCATTCAGGTCATCCCCAAGCTCGGTATAGGAATCAGCATAGGAGAGTTGGGTACTAGGATCTAGGCTACCATATATTGGATCTAGGGTTCTGCATACCGCGAAACGCCTAATTGATTGGTCTAGCAGCTGCAGAGTTTGCATGGAAAACCTCTCCACTTTATCCCGTGGCTCAAGGAGGTCCTGGGCCTCCTGAGAAGATAGAGCTAGGACCGAGGCAGGTTCTGGCAGAGATAAA